GTTTTTTATGCAAATAGATTTTATTCATATAGTTATTTGATGTAGTTAACAATTCCAACCAATTGAAAAATCAACCTAGGGCAAACTTTGTTCAAAATAATAAAATTATTTCTATTGAAGTGCTTTTGTATTGCAACGATTATTTATATTGATAATAGGTGGTAGTATCCCGCACCTTACAAATCACTTTGATTACATGTGTGTATATTCATCACCATAAAGAAAAAGAACTAACAATTTTTCCCAACGGGATGAAGTTGCATAGAAGAAAAAAAACAAAAAAATTGAAAGATAAACAATCAGTTTACAATTTCATTGTGTAAAATGTTTCCAAAATTTGTAGATTTTGTTGGATCATTGCCATTAACCAAAATTCTTTCTAATGTTGTTCTATACATTGGTTCAATTTCGATTTTGTTCCATTTCTTGTTCCTAAATCATAACACAATTTCAAAGGAATCGACTGCAAATAACAAAAACTAAAAAGAGAATTCACGGAAACAAAAGTAATAGACATTGAAGAAGAAAACAAGAGTTTACTGATTAAAGTCATACAAAGAAACAAAGAACAAATAGTGTTTCTGAGATTTGCTTAAGAGCTTTATGAAGAACCAAACCACAACCTCTCTCTCTCTCGGACTCTAATTGTAGACCATGTACTTTGGAGTTGCACTGAACTTTTGGTAACCTTTAATGACTTTGTTCACTGCGTCCAAAAAGTCTTTCTCGGTGACAGTCTTTCTCCTAGCTCGGATCGCGTACATTCCGGCTTCTGTGCATACACTTCTGATATCAGCTCCTGCAAAAAAGAAGATTTAAGTAAGAACAAAACTCAATAGACAGAAGAAGAAGCCATAAGAATGGTTGTGATCATTACCGGTTGAGTTTGGGCAGAGACGAGCAAGGAGTTCGAAACGGATGTCTCTTTCGCAGTTCATGGTTCGTGTGTGAATCTTGAAGATCTGTGTTCTGCTCTCTAGATCAGGAAGACCAAACTCTACCTTACGGTCAAGACGTCCAGGACGTAAAAGTGCAGGGTCTAGTGTGTCAGGCCTGTGATATAAGAAGAAACAACGAATGAGCCAAGCGGTTGTCGTGTAGTTTACTTAAGGATGTATAAGGGGATTGAGGACAGACCTGTTTGTTGCCATGAGAACCTTTATGTTACCACGAGCGTCGAACCCATCAAGCTGATTCACAATCTCAAGCATAGTACGTTGGACTTCGTTATCACCACCAACACCGTCATCAAATCTTGCACCACCAATGGCATCAACTTCGTCAAAGAACACAATGCAAGCTTTCTTGGACCTTGCCATCTGGAATCAGAGTATTATACAATTTCAGAACAATCTATAGCAGCCTTGGCTAGGTAAAAAGCAGATAAGAAAAAGGAGTTTTGAGTCAATTGATTACCTGAAAGAGTTCACGAACCATTCTAGCTCCTTCACCAACATACTTCTGAACAAGCTCACTGCCAATGACCCTGATAAAGCAAGCATCGGTTCTGTTGGCCACAGCTCTAGCCAAGAGGGTTTTACCAGTACCAGGAGGACCGTAGCAGAGAACACCCTTGGGTGGATCTATTCCAAGCTTCACAAATTTCTCTGGATGAAGCATGGGCAGTTCAACAACCTACAATCAATAAAGACAACAGACATTTAATAATTTTCTTCCATGAAAAGCTATACCACAACAGTGAATTTATAACTTAGGTAAACAAATAAGAACAGGGCACGGGATAGTAACAAAGTTCAACACTACAATCAACAAAGACACCAAAGCTCTTAAACGATTATCTTCATTAAAAAAAAATATCACAACAGTAAGTTTATAAATCTAGTTAACCAAAGAAGATAAGGACACGGGATAGTAACAAAGCTCAACATACCTCTCTCATCTTTTCAATCTGCTCTTTGCAGCCACCAACATCATTGTAAGTCACATCAGGTTTCTCTTCCACTGTCATCATGGTCACACTAGGATCGATTTTTGGAGGTAGAGGAATCTGAATCTGATATTTATTCCGATCAACTCTGCAGACACAAATCAGAGACAGAACGTTACTTGCAAGTTGTTATCTACATAAATAAATGTACAGCAATCAAAGGGATTGAACTGAAGCAACAAGGACAAAAAAAATAAGACAGAGGGAACTTATAATTAACCAGAGACAATCTCAGTTCATAAAGAGGAAACTCACCCCACGCGCATGCCTTCTTCGATGTCAGTGGGAGATACTTTATCTCCAAGACCAACAACGAACTGCAATTAAGAATCAAACTATCAGTTACAACTATTAACCAAACATCGAAAGGCTACACACAATTGATCAATCAGAAACATCATCTTAAGGGATATAATTGTACCTTAGCTATCTGCTTGACATTAATAACGTACTTGGCGTCTTCAGTATTTGGACTTATTATCTTTGTGCATCTCGCAACCTTGATACAAAAAAAAAAAGTTCACCTTAATTTCCTCATAGTTACCGTCAAAGAATAAGAAAAATCAGAGAAACAAGTAAGAAAGCCTACCTGCAGTGGCTGTTCCTCTTGCATCATCTGCTTGTCCGAAACAAGATCCCATTGACTGGGAGGAGCTAAGCCAGTATCAGACTCCTTAATACCTAAAAAGAAAGTGATACACTCATCAATGTTTCCATAAGCAACCCAATTATCCATTTACTCATGCAATAAAAAGAAGTCACTTCACCAACAAAGACTGTGCACATACCACATAGATCATTGATCTTCTTAGCGAGCTCTTTGATTTCTTTCTCAACTTTCTTAATAGGTGCAGAGTAAGGCCCTAACCCCTGTAAACATCAGCAACAAAATTATGTTCAAAAGAATGTGATAAGAGTCAAGCTAAAACTACTCGTAAAGCACAAAATTGAACTAAACATACACTAATCAAGCTCAACAAAGACAAATTACGAACGAATCTAAGCTCAAATTACTCAGGAGAAAGCATCAAATCGGCTCGCAAAGAGACGATTCGAGAAACTAAATCTGACGAACATGGAATCGCACAATAAAGGAACAAAGCAACTGAAATCTACTCTGGATCCGAAATCTCCGATGACCTAGAAGAGTAAAAACCATTCGAAAAACTTGAAATCTCTAATCGAATTTAGGGTTCTTACATAAGTTTTGAGGAGAGCGATATCATCTTCGTCAAGTGGTCGTGGGTTCTTCTCGTCTCTGATCTCATCTTCAATATCTCTCGTCATTTTTTTCACCGGAATTTCGAATCGGAGATTTGAGATTCTAAGTGAGAGAGTTTATCAGATTTTTCTTGCCGGAGAGGAAACGAATAGAGATTTTCCGTTTGGTCGAATTATAAAGCAAAATCAACACGTACCACTCACACGTGTAAACTGGGCTTTTAAACTCGGCCCATATTATTTGTCTTGTTGGAGAGGTCAGAGCAAATAATCCACACGTGCTGCTCACACGTTTTATCCTTTTTTTTTTTTGTTATGTAGTTTTCCATTTTTCTTTGTGATTCTTGTTTTTTTTCTTTCCTTTGATAAAAAAATTCATCATTTGTGATTCTTGTTGATAAATTAAAGAAGCTTATTTACATTTTTTGGAGTCTTTTTTTTGTAGTTTCATAAAATTCAATTGTTTCCAAGTAACAAAGATGTTTTGAAGCAATAAGGAATCAAAAGACAAAAAGGAAAGAATTATAGTGTTGAGTTTAATCAAAACATCTGAAAATTTGTTCAAAAGAGAAAGAAGAAGACTAAAATGCCAAAAGAGTTTTTTTTAGACTAGATTGCGGTATTTGAGAACATCGTTCTTATTGAGGTGAAAGGTTTTGCAAATCGTTACTATGGTCACCTCGTCGAGTCCTTCCTCTTTCGCTTCGCGAAGTAGTTGATATAACTCATCTGATGGTAGCAAAACCTGTCTCAAGAGAACACAAAGATACATAAGAAAACAAGAATGTTTTGATTGAGTTTTTGTTAGTGAACAGAGATATCAGCTTACACATGTGGGAGGTTGAGATTTTTGTTCCGGT